TGTTGTTGTTGTTGTTGTTGTTGTTGTTGTTGTTGTTGTTGTTGTTGTTGTTGATGATGATGTTGTAGTTGTTGTAGTTGTTTTGTTTTGTTTTGTCAGGATTAGATTAATAGTCTACACTTTATTGAAAAGTGTGTTTGTTACTGAGTGAAAAGAAAACATCGACGCAATAAGTGTTATTTAATGCAGGGGAAAGCAAGTCATATATAGAGCAATAATACAGGGAACTAGCACGTAAAACGTGTACCAGTGGCGCCTTCCAACCACTCGTATCCGTACTGAAGAAAAATAGTTTGCTGAAAACTGGCTCAAAAATCACTACTACATGAGGGACCAATAGCCAGTTATTTATGACGTATAAAGCCTTGCTTTCTATTTTTATGGTAAAGTTGCATGAACAATCAAAACTTAATCTATGATAAGCTATGAATATCTTAGATTGCGTACTGTGACATAATTCTGGTTTGGTGCACACCATTTCGCTACCTCAGAATTACAAAGTGCTATCTAACATTTTTGGCCGTTTTGAGTCACTAAGACCTTGACGTCAGAAAGCAAATAAATGCTCTATCTGCTCTATCAAAATCGTAAAAAATATTCAGAGTCGTTATCAAAATATTCAAAGAATTTCGTTTGGAAATGCTTGACATATTATTATTACTGTTATGAAACTAAAAAGTATTTACCTCAAATTTCTCAAAACTAGATATTGAGCAGATAGTACTAAGTACTTCTGGGGTAGCGAATTGACTCAGTTGCCCTTCATCAGAACGTCCACATTATGGTACTTTCGCTTCGCAGCAAAGGAGTTATTGAGAGCAAAAAGGCAGCACACATGACAGTGCAGGACCTAGGGTGTTACACTCCAAGTTTTTAACGGCCAAAGAGTAACCTCAAAACGTACATCTTTTAGCCGCATGTCCACCAAACCAGAAACTGACCGACTGTAATTCGTCCGTCTCTCGGGAAGTCGGTAGTTGAAATAGAGCACAGGTATTTACTTTAGCAATCGGGCATAATTTTGTTATGATGTGTCCACCTAAAAAGCAAGACATCTCTCGACAAATGATGGGTTGGTTGGAATGCTCGTGTGCACAAATTATAATTTTTTAAACGCAATCGAGTCACGACATGAGCATGTAGAGTTATTGAAATCAACTTAAAGCTTGATAATTTGTCTTGCTTTCGATAAAAAAAATACCTATCTATCTTGAATAGAAGTCGAAATATTTGCGATTGAAGGAGATGGGAGTCGCCTGGTTTCAGAGGTAAAATTAGTGAGAAAATGGTCACCAAAGGTTGGTGACTTCCCTGGCTTGAGAGTCCTTGGAAACTAAAAACGTAATATATTTTGTGTCTCTAATCAATGCTTTTCAATAAAAATCCATACAGAAGTAGGTATGTATTTAAATTGGTATAAAAGATGTTGAGCCAAAAAAACAAAAAATTCGATAACATTTGCTAAACCGGCGGAAAATGCCAGTTCCTTCGAATACATTATTTTGATAAACGCCTGATTTTACCACGATGCCAAACAATTGAGGATCATAATTTACACTGCTCTGACTCTGCTTGGTAAGGCCACCCGAGCTGGAAGGAACACAGCGTCCCTACAGGAATATGCAGATGCTCGATAAACGATATTCCCTACCCGGGAATTTAACCCACGACTTCTGGATATAATAGAAAAGTGACTAACAGAGCTACAACATAGACTTAGGAAACCGTAAAACTTAATGTGCACTTCTATAGTGCTTCTGGGAATAGCAATCGAACAAATAAGAGCGTTTTAGGGCAAAAGTAAATATCCTTTATGTGTCAATACGTCTGAAGAAATCATAATAATATTGAATTTATCGAAAATATGCTTCCAACACTTGCGTAGTTTCATCGGAGCTCGAAGACTCCCAGAGTCCAAGGGCATTCAGTACAAAGTATGTACATTTCTTTGCTCTTGATGCACATCCACGGCTATTTCCACTTGTTACCTGCTCCATCCTCCCCCACCCTCTCGCCCACGTCACACTTGTTGTTGACCCCAAAACGCTTCCGCAGGAAGTGGTTCCACTGTGCCGTGCTGGACATCGAGATGCGGAAAGAGGCCTCGGCCGACTGAGGGCTGTCACAGAATACAGGTAGTGTGTGGTGATTGAGGAACGAGAAGCACGTAGATGTTACAGCGGCTATTTAGTGCTGGGGGTTGGTCTCATCGGCCATAGCAGAAGCCACAAGATATCTAAAGCTTATTTCCTATATTTCTCTTTAGACGTGTTCTCCACTGCAGTAATATATACGCCATCGTCAGACATTGACGGACGTACTATTATTACTAGTACTGGGGGAAAGTAAGACCTACAGACACAAACAACAGAAGTAGAGAAAGAAGTAGGATCAACCAGTGGCACTCTAAAACCAACCACACAGACATAAACAACAGAGAGAGATTTTTTTCAAGGTTGGCCCAGCCAGTGGCACCCACGAACCTCCCACACAAGGGAAACACGACCTACTAGTGGCGCCACCCAACCACCCGCAAAATGACAAGCTTTGATCAGTCCAAGTTCTACAGCGATGAAGAGGCCAGCTCCTGCTACGCTAAGTATCGGCCCACATACACAGATCAATTGTTCAAATTGGTGATTGATTTCTGCGGGCAGACGGGAGACGGTACCTGGGACCTTGCCGTGGACGTGGGCTGTGGATCTGGACAAAGTACTCTGCCCTTGGCTAGTAACTTCAAGCAGGTGACCTCCATTCTCTGTTTCTCTTCATATCACCAAGAAGTTGTCACATCTGTGTCACAATGTTGTGAAATCAAGCATTTGTCAAAATAAGGAAATTTAAAAAACAGGCATTTTTCTGGATTAATTTTTTAAAATTTACATCAACATCCTTTAAGTCCATTAAAACACTTTTTGTGTGTTTGTTTTTACTGAAAAACGTTGACCAAAGGCACAAAAAGGAAAATTTGCAGTTTCCAAGAACATTTAGGCTTTGAAATTCACCAAACTTTGGGGGCCATTTCCTCGCTAATGTTACTGATATCTCAATTTCTATTCAAGATTTTTTTATGTGGATATTTTTTTCACCAAAAGCAAGGCAAATGAAAAAGCTTAAAGAGGATAACAAATACCCAATGAAGAATGAGCTCCTGATTCCACCGCGTCGTGAATCGTACTATACCATTTTAAGCTCAATGATCGTCGTAGACTTGTTATGTTATCATAATTATTGATATTGGCCTGGCTCTGGACAGATTTCTCTGCCCTTGGCTCGTTACCTCAAACAGGTGACCCCCATTCTTACTATTCATTTCTCTCTCTTCATATAACAAAGTTCTAAACTGTCACATATTACATGTATTATGTTATGCTCAATGCTCGCCATAGACGTGCTTGTGATCATCATTGTTCTCGTGCATAGAGCCTGCTGTTGAGCGGGGATATGCGCTATACAAATGCTATCTATTAACTTCAAACAGGTAATTTCCCTTCCCATTATCTGCTTTGTTTGTTTTGTTTTGTTTTGCTTTGCTTTGTTTTGTTTGGGGGTGTGAGATAAAAAAAACAACAAACTTTTCCACCTCTTCACATTACCAAGACATTACCACTCGAATTGTATCCTACCCTCAATGCGTGTGGGCTTGATATCATTGACTGTTCCTGTTGGCAGTGGTTAAGAAGAGAGTAGTCTGCCCTTGGCTAAGAACTTTTATTTAACAAATTAAATCCCTTCTAACCATCTGAATCTGTTTGGGGTTTTTTTTATCTCTTAGATCTAGTGCCATCAGGAAATTACTACCTAATACTATCTTACCTTTAAATTCTCTTAGACGTGCTTGTGTTATTATTGTTGTTATTGCCACTCAGACCAAAAACTCATATAATTGATCATTCATTATTCGGAATAAATTGTGCTGCATACAGTGTGCAAGAGTTACAGTTTACATCCATGTAATAGAAAATCTCAGTTTAATGAAGCAAGTCTTCAAAAGAAGTAATGAAGGTTACTTTACAGCATAATAGTATAATATACACTAATTGCATAAGAGTAAATTTCAATCCGCCCCATTCTTGAATTAAGTAAAAAGCATTTTAGCGTATGACGTCACGATGACCCCCGTGCGACTCCTCGGAGAGAAAACATTTCAGGTATTAATTGTTCGGGACCTCTGGATATAACTTATATCTCAGGTAGGACCGAGTCAGGAAGCCTTCGTAGAATAGCCTTGAAAACGCCCCAACAATCCACGTTCTAAAACACCCATGTGGAATTCAAAACCAGAGTCATAGAGGCGTAGAGACCTCAACCTGATAGCAGCTGAGCTAAAAAGGGGTACCCCTGTGTAACGTTTTATGATGAACTCTCCAGTGTCATTGTTTGTATAAGTACCTGTTTTAAGAACTCTATAGCCATGCCAAGAAACTTAATCACTTTGACCTGAAAAGGCTCGTGAGAAGTTTTGGCATCAACTGGCAGAACAAAATGACTCATGAGTATTTCTTTTCCTTCCTATACTTTGAAGATCACAAAAAGAAGTATTTTGCATCTTGCATTATTCTTTTAGTTTATCAAAAAGAGGACCGACATCTCGCAACCTCAGAATAACAAAGTTTTATCTGGCATTTTTGTCCGTTTTGAGTTACTAAGACCATGAGATCAAAAACCAAATCGTGTTCTATCAAACTCGTCAGATTATTCGGAGTTTTTTTTTCTCAAAATATTCCAAGAATTGCATTAAAAAAATCTTGATAGGCCAAAATTGTGGGACTCAAAACTAGATCTAGATATTGAGCTGATAGAATTTTGTAATTCAAAGGTAGCGATCTGACTGTTTTGACTGATCGTGTACTACTCCCTCAAAACACGGGTGGCCATTAGTATCGCCAGCTCTGATCCTCTCTTGGGCATGTTTTTGTGTGGAATGTGGTGGGAATGTGACTGTCACAACAACAAAACCAACTAGAAAACGTTTGATGAACTTGAGCAATTACACGAAAGTATCCGGCTGCAGAACCCCCCCCCCCCCCACCTCCACCCTATCAGTTAATCGAACGCTTATCTTTTCCGTGCATCCACGGTGTCAGTCATCAATTTGGCATGTGGTCACACGCAGCATTGATTTAATGGATTTGGAAATTGGGTTGTTCAACTTGGGATGGATGTCTTACCGCAAAATGAATTCTCTTACTTAATTGGAAATAATTAATCCTCGTGATTTTTTCCTTGACATATGGGTCCTTAAGAAAAGGAATGGATTTTCAAAAGAAAATTTGCTTGCTAGCACAATATTTGATTTCTTTGCACACTTAATATTTTCCGTGAGTGCATACATGCAGTCCAACCTGCTTTGATATCTACCCGTTTATGAATATCACCTGTACAAACGCCATCTCCCATTTCTACCCTTGTGGGTTTTTATGGGTTTTTATTTGTTATTTTATTTATTTATTTTTTATTATATTTTATTTTTTAAATATTTTTTTTTTGGGGGGGGGAGGTGTTACATTGTAATGACACTGTAAGTCAGCGTAAGTCATCCACCTATCTAAGACGGCCACGTTTCCATATATCGTATAATATTTGTGTATGTATGTACAATTATGTATACAATTTATATTGTCATCAGGTAATTGGTGTGGATGCGTGCGAACAACAGATCAGCAAGGCGCCTCAGCAAACGCGCAACGTTAGCTTCCGATGTGGGGCAAGCGAGGACCTCAATTTCGTCACTTCTGGTAGCGTGGACCTCGTCACGGTAGCTACAGCTTTCCATTGGTTGAACCAGGACAGGTGGGTTTTGAGAGGCTGGGCAGCGTCACTGGTAAATCGTATAAGAAACATCTTTACTTTTTGTCTATTGTTTCTGTATGCCTGTCTATCTGTGTGGGTGGTTGGAGGGCGCAATTGACTTGTCCTACTTCTTACCTTTCCTTCTGTTGTTACTGTTCCCCAGCGCTTATTAGAGGTTATTGTGTCGATGAGCTTCTGTCTACCATTACTATTATACTATTATTGAAAATACCAAGCACCACATCTGTATTCTGTTGTTGTTGTTGTTGCTGTTGCTGTTGCTGTTGCTGTTGCTGTTGCTGTTGCTGTTGCTGTTGCTGCTGTTGTTGTTATTGTTGTCGTTGTTGTTGATGATGTTGTTGTTATTGCTGCTGTTGTTGTTATTGTTGTTTTTGTTTTCTGTGTTTTGTATGGCCTTTTTACACCCTGACAGATAATCTTAAAACAGAATGCAAGATACAGCTTTGCCAGGGCGGTTGACACATAAGACGTAGATTTCTCAATTTAACACATTATTTTCCTCTTTTCAGATCGTGTCTTCCTAAATAGTCCCGAAGAAGAAACATAGTCAGTGTGTTTGAAATCATGGAAGGTGTAAGAGGGTGTCTTACTACGCATTTTACAATTCGTTACCGGTAATTGAACATGTCTATCATGGTCATCGAGGATCACAGAGAACTGTGACTGGCACAGACAGGAGGCCACATTATGGACAGTTATAGTTACTAATTTAGACTTGACAGATGGATTAAATCTAAAATCTTCATCTTGTTCTTTCCATTTCATTTCCATCAAGGTTGTAATCTATATATTTTGAGCTTCTTTGCATTGATTTAACAAAGACACTCAGTCAGGGGATAGTTTTGTGGAAACAAATTTTGTACCATGTGATACGGCTTTGAGTACGTTCCGAGGTCGACTCGACGCGAAGATAACTTGATATAGACCTTGGCCATGTTGGACAGAGAACACTGGGCGAGTTTAGAAATTGTTTTTTTGGGGGGGGGTTGTTTTTTTTTAACCGCAAGAGCAACACGGAACAATGGCTGTTAGCATAGATTACCGCTGAGACAGGTTCTAGTTAGAGCTGTGCGAAATCGATTCTCGATCCAAATCCTGCAATTATTCCTACGGAAGAAAAGTTCCGATTCCTTTTTAATTAAAGTAACGGTTACCATTTCTTGTTTTTAGGAGAAGAAAAATGTAACATGTTGGTGCCCCGCTGGGTTCCGAAACCGAGGTTGCCTTGAATCCTAAAGCTGTTCGAAGCCGATCTGGGAACCGGTTACTGACAAGGTGTCGGACTCAACGGAAGCAATCATGGACTCGTGAAAACATTGCTACTCGTTAGAAGTAATCAAGTAATAAGTCTAGGGGTCGGACTCAACGGAAGCAATCATGGACTCGTGTGGAAACATTGCTACTCGTTAGAAGTAATCAAGTAATAAGTCTAGGGGTCGGACTCAACGGAAGCAATCATGGACTCGTGAAAACATTGCTACTCGTTAGAAGTAATCAAGTAATAAGTCTAGGGGTCGGACTCAACGGAAATACTGACTACTCACCGAAAGTTATCATATATTTGTCTTGCGGTCTGAATCACAGGACTCACATGGGTAGAAAGTAACTGGTTTCGGACTCGATTCTTACGATTCCTAGCTTTTAAAAATCGTGAATCTGCGGTTACCGAATCAAAAAAAAAAAGGGAATCTCCGACCACCAAGTTTGACTTTTTTTTTTTTTTACACCCTCAGATTTTTCCAAGAAGCAGACCGAATTCTAAAACCGGGTGGATCCTTAGTCCTGTATAGTACCGGAGACCATTTCATGGACCACCTAGAGGGGAACAGATATTTAGAACATGTGAGTACAGAGACTTGTTGTTGTTGGGGGTTTTTTTTCGTTCGTTTGTTTGTTTGTTTGTTTGTTTGTTTTCTTGGTTGGTTATTTGCTTGCTTGGTTGGTTGGTTGATTGGTTCTCTACTCTACTAGATGTAGACTATTCAAGAAACGTTCAGAAGAAAACAATTCTATGGTACACGTAGTAGCCTACAGATATTTTTTTTCAATCCGAACCAGGCGGAGTAGATACAAGTCGTTTCGTATGATCTTAATTAATTGTGTTGATGTGGGCGTAAAATATAATAATATAATATTACAACACAAAATAATATTCATACAGATCAACATAGCTGGGCACATCATGAGGTATCACCCCGCGTCACGGATTGTCAAGAACAAATACAGAAACGTCTTCTTACCCTACCAGGATACCATGAGGTGAGTTCTTTAGATTAAGTAAGAGTAAGAGTTTTACGGCACTTGCAACACGTTAAGGTCAAGTAAGTGCCGAACATTAGAGATGTTACAAAAGAGTAACGAACACAAAATGGAAGGAGAGGTTAAGTCGATAGATGTTTGATCGGCAAGAATGAGCAAACCCTGCCACAGCACCCGCCAACAGCCCTTGTGGATTTTTAAGAAAGATAACACGTACAAACTATAAATTGATGTGTATATTATTTGTGTGTGTGTGTGTTTTGTGTGTGCGTGTGTGTGTGTGTGTGTGTGTGTGTGTGTGTGTGTGTGTGTGTGTGTGTGTTCATGGGTGTGGATATATGGGTACGAGTGTGTGTGTATGTGTGGGTAGGGGTGTATCTGTAACTATTATACTGGTAGGTTGATGTGTGAGTGTGTGTATGTGTATATCTTTTTTGTTTAAATGTGCAGGTAAATTATCAGATAATTCCCTCAAAGCGTGTGAATAGGTATACGTGTGAATCTCTCTCTCTCTCTCTCTCTCTCTCTCTCTCTCTCTCTC